TAAGTATTAAAGAATTCTTTGCTTCATTTTATTTTATATTATTTAAAAACAATGCAATTTATAATTTAGATTTATTTTTTTTATAGTTTGGGCATTTTTCTTGACTATCTTTATTATCTGTAAAGACTTCCTTCAATTTTGGCTTTAGGATTAAATATATTCTTATAATTATAATAGTTACTGGAACTATAAGAATGAATCTTCAGAACATCTGAACACAGAAAATTTATTAAATAAAAAAATATTTTTGTATAAGAAGCTTTATAATTGACAAAGACTAAATATTGTAATCTGCTAAAAGTAGAGACAATGATTATTAATATAATCTTATTATTGTAATTAATAGTTATTTATTTATTTATTTAATTTTCTAATTCTTTTTATTTTTAAGTTTATTTTGATTATTATGCAAATCTCTGATACTTTGTAAAATTTCTAGCAACTCATTATTAGTTTTTTGCTACAACCCACGATACTTTGGATAATCTGAAATATTAATAGAATTTAGCAATGAATTAATAATTGCTAAAAGCTCTTTTTTCATCATATTTTTTTCATCTATGGCTGCTGTTTCCTCCTGAGCAGTAATAGGTATTGGACAAGGTGAGAAATTTGGTTTAATGCTTCTAAAAGTCTCATTATTCACCTTTTGCATGCTAAATTACTGAAATTTTTTAGTTTTTCGCTAAGTAGATATTCTTCTCCAAAACTCTTAAAAGTGCAATTGTCATCTTGAGAATTCAGAAATCTAGTTTGATACATATGAACCTGAAATCGCTATGATTCTAATATACAATCTAGACGTATCCAACCTCCTGATGATTCATTATCTACATGCCTAATCATTTTAAATAATACATGACATAGCTGATTATTATTAAAAATATATATTGTAAGCACAGGTATAATCTTTTTTTTTTAATACAATTGTAATTTTATTAATCTTTATAAATTTTATACAGTTACATGCTGCAATTCTCCAATGTTTTTGTGAAGGTACAGGTAGAATTAAGGCTTTTAAATATTTATTAATCTCCTTGAGAATAGCATCAAGGCCTTGATGTTGATTGCTATATTCTGATCATGAAATAACTAAATATAACTCTATACATCATTTAATCTTAGGATTTAATCGCATCAATTGTTCTTTATATATTATCTCAATTAAACGGTATATAGGGTGTCTACGACTAGTTTATATTGGTGCAAATATGCGCCGAGCAGCACTTACTAATAATGGTCTATTGTTTCTAATTCCCGTATAAAATTAATAACTACCTGGAGATAAGTAAATGTCTAAAATAATTATTAGTTTAAAGTTTTAGATATATTTAATATTTTATTAAAAATCTTACTTGTTCAAATTTTAATTTATATATATTATTATTTTGTTTTCTTGCCCAATCTAAATAGTCATCAACTGAGAGATTTTCTGTCACAGCTACATATAGCTATAATAATTCACATGTGATAGCATGTCAGTAGATATTACAAACAGAGTCTCATGATTTGTAATGATCGGTATACTTTTTAAAAAACCCAAGTTGGTTTTTAGTTCTGTATTCTTGAAGAGAAGCAAATTGTTTGATATCAATCATCTTTAAAAAAAATAATTATTAAAAATGTAATAATGATTTTTATACTAAAATTTATATTACTTTAATAAGAAAAAAAGAAGATATTGATACTAATTTAATTCTATGAATGCTTTGAGCATGTTCATTTTATTATGCAAGGCACTGGGAATCAATATAAGCCATGGAAAGGCTTTTTTATTCTTTTGAACTAAGATATAAGGAACACTATCACAGGTAACAAGCAGCCATTTTCACTTTTCTTGATTTATTTTCATAATATCTTATATGTATTCTAGAACTTTTTTGACATTATCTATTAAGTTAGAGTTAACTTCTAATAGATCTGGTACATACATTTCACGAATAACAACATTATGCTTAAGATTTGACTGCTGTATAATACTAATATGATTAAAATTAGATCTAGTTTGTTCATGAGCAAATATATGAGGCTTTATTACAAGTGATTTTGATTGGAAAGCTGTATTAATTTGGGTAAACTCGTTAACAAATTCTGTTTGTAAAACAGCCAACATGTCTAGTTTTCATTAAATTTAGGGCAAGTATGTTTTTTATTATCGATATTAGTTGTATTATATTTTTTACACCACTTAGATTGACTCTGCTACCTCTTTGATTTTTTATAATTAGATGGTCGCATTGATTTTTTCTTTTTTTTTTAGCAACAAGCTTCTCTAAAATTGTGATAAGTATATTTTTAATTCTAATTCATGTTCAGCTTGTATTTCAGGTGCAATATAATATAACTTATCATATTGTTCATCAGTTAATGAATCTCAAAGCCAAGGAGAAATCGTAAATTGAGCATAATCATTTTTATTCATATTGAGAGTGATGAAACTTGTAACTATATAATATATAACTGTGTTATAACCACAGTCAAAATAATTATGTTGACTGTGCTACTTATTATTGAAAGCTAAAAATAAGAGTTCTTTAAGTAAAAGTTCATTTTCAACTGCTAATAATTCTAGCCAATTAACAAATTTTATATAACTTCCAGAACTAATTAAATGGTTATTAATATTAATAATTGTTTTTGATCATGTGATCAAATATTTGATTCTAGATATAGCTAGATTTATTTCTGATACTTAGTTTTTATGACTCAATCCATATATAGCATTAACAGCAACTATTTTTTTAAATATCTTCTCATTCAATGTATAAATATTATAGTTATTACTATTATTATATATAAAGGTAGGGTGCTGGTATTCGTACCCCCCAAATTTGGTATTTGTACCCCCTAGCAAAAAATAAAATTTTTAAAGATTCAAGTAAAGATATCTCGATGTCCACCCAATCAAATTTAATGAACTTTTTTTTTATTTCAAT